GCCAAGATCCGCTCCTCCTTCTCCCGCACAAGTTCCACGAGGGCAGGGGCACTGCATTCTGGAACGCTGGCGGGCTGGCTAGTTCCATGTTTCTGGAGAAGCAGAAACAATGCCCGATGCTTAAAATGTCTGTAAGGCCACAGCAACCCTGTGTGCAGTTAACTGCACAGAGCAAACATACCCTTCCAGATCGCGAGTCCATGCAGGGCTCCAGTGTGTATGACTACATGACCCTAACGCACACCTCCTCATCCGTCTAGTCGCACCTAATACTACTCACTCAGCTATGAAACCAGGCATTATCTAATTCTGCAGAAGCTGGATTAACCACCAGTGTCTCTAAGCTAATCTGCAGTAGTCAGGATTCAAACTCCAGTCTGGCTCCACAGCCTCAAAGTTCTAAGAAGTGACTGCTGTTGGCTTATACCAGAGACAACAATGAATTAAGTCTTGGCTTCTTGGTCTCAGCACTTTCTCTAGCATCCTGAGAGCAGACTCAGTTGCTCTGTTTCTCCTCTGAGTGGGAGATAAAATGGAGGCACAGATGTGGGAGTGAGATGCCTGCACCCAGCAAGGCTCTCGTCTGCAGTGGGATGTTAGACCTGCAGGACGTGAGAGCACATCATCCCTAAGGCACAGAAAACTCATTCTCTGTCCCTTCTTTTCATCTCTGTCAGTAAAAGGAAATACAGTTGATTTACCGAGACTGCTCACAAGCAGAGCCAGAGTGCTGGTTCTGAGGCGGTTCCAGCTCCAGCCCAGAGGTAGAGACGGGCCCTCTCAGGGTCTCGGGCTTCGGCAGGCCTCTGTCTCAATGTGGGCCAGGCCCCTTACTTCATCCTGAGACAGGTACCCCTCCCTCCCCAGTCCCAGGGGCTGCACACGTTAAATGCAGAGCCACTGCAGGATGTGAGAAGTATTTAAACGCATTAGCAAAGCCATGAATCACCCAGAGCAGCAGCTGACAGCTGAGCGGCTCGTCGGAGTAAGTGCATGGAGGCCTAGGCTCTTTGTACCGGGTGCTTCTATTCTACGAAGCCTCCAAATATGTGTTATTCTAGGAAGTGGCAGCTAGCCAGTGTCCAACACTGAATGAAAACAGCAGAAGGCACCTGTCCTTACTTGACCTGGTGAGGAAGCTGCCGATCCCATTTGGACAGGACCCAGACTCAGGTAGGACAGATGGACCAGGCCATCAAGATGAAAAGACCTCTATTTTTAGACACTTTCCAAGAAAGTGCCACAGCCTCCTTACGCTGCTATTTATGCTTGTCATTTCCTATCTAGTGGCCACCAAAGCAGTTTACTTTTTCAGCATCCTCTTGACTTTTCATGAGATCAGAACAACTCTTCACTGTCACCAAAGGTTACTTCATAAACCTGGAATATCAGCATTCAAGCTTACAGAGAGCGCACTGTTTCCACAAGGACCTATGCTGATCAGAACATCGAACTGAAGGTCAGGCAAGACAATGTCTGACACCCACTGAGCTGGGCCACAGTTGCTGTGTGCCAGGCATGCCCTGGGGACACCGCAGTAAAACCCACAGCTCTGTCTGTCCCCACATCAGGGAATGTCCTGATGAGCCACATGACCTCCGGCTGGCCTCAACCTCCCTGGCCTCCCTCTTCTCCCTCAAAACACTGTCACTGTTTCCCTTCTACCTCACAGATGACTATAAAAGAAATGACAACGACCTTAAGGTCTGTGTTGGTGGGTTTTTTAAGATACAATTGTGAGTTCTTGAGAATGGTTTTGTGTTCATTATCTGTCTTTGGGAGGGCAAAGGGAGAACAGAAATGGAGGGAAAGGGTGAACAAACGAGCAGCGGTACCCTCTCAATAATATGCTGAGGCTGAACCACACACCTGTGGGTGTAAGCAGGAGGGAAAAACCAGGAGAGAGCGTGAAGCAAGGGGCGACTCATGTACTCACTACCTGATTTATGTAACTGTAACCTCTGTCCATCACCTTTATTTAAAGAAAAAAAAAAAAGGAATTACTTGTTTTTCTTTGTTTCCTTCCAGTTCCTGACATGGCCCTACATCACTGCTGGTACAGGAGATAACTTTTAGTGACAGAACTGTGAGTTCAGTTTCCTTGCTGCTAGTCCCTACTGTGTGGACTTCTTTTTCTCTCTACCTGTTACTCCACTCCTCAGCAGAGAAGTCGGGTAAATGAAGAGTCTGGAAGAGGATATCAAGAACACTCTAGGGCTTCAATGACTCTGACAGCATTGATGTTAACAACAGTGGTGAGAATGGCCTTTCTTCATCCACTGTGGGGAGAACTCCTGAAGATTTTCTCAGTTGTCCTTAGGACCTTGTGACAAGGACAAGGACATTGTGATTGCAGAGATCACTTACCCATGGCTGTTTTCTGCCCTCAGTTTAGCTCTGGAACCTGTGCTTCCAGTGAAGACAGGATTCCTTGCCATTCTGACCCCCTCCAGTGTGTCCAGCACACCTTGCAAGAGTGGTGCGCTCACTGATCTTAGAATGTCAGGTGGAAAGCCCTGGCTGGGCCCTGGCCTCAGCCATTGACACAGCACCGGTGTGGTACTGACCCCCAGAGTTCTCTGACATGCCCAAGTCTCTCCAGAATAATGCCGGAGGGTCAGGGAAGCTGGTCTCACTTCCTCTTCGGGGAAGGCAGAGACAAAGCGGTGTTGTTACAGTGTGAACTGAGCACGTTTTCTAGGGGGATAGAGGGAGAGCAAGCTGTATGTGGCAGAATCTTGTCACGGGCAATCACGTCTGCACCAAGAGGATGGTGCCATCTGAAGCACATTCTCCTCTTCTTTCCGCGGGAGGCAAGTTACCTTCTCAGAGCAGACAGCACTGCTTGGTCATGCACAGGAAGCCACCAGAACCTCACGCTGCACGGGGAGAGGACACAGATCGCGCCGAGCCCGGCGCAGAGTGCAGCCCTGGCCGCGGTACCTCCCGGGGGACGGACCCTGGCCCCTCACCTGCTGGGTTCTCAGGGCATCCAGCTCCCTCTCCAGCCAGGTCCGCAGCCTACGCTCCATCTGCTCTCGCTTCTCACATGCCGACTGCAGCTGGG